ATTATTTAAAAATACAAATTATACAAGAGGAAAAACAATCATCATCATCATCATCATCATCATCGTAGATCTTAAGATTCAATCAATCGAAATGATTAAGGTAATAGTGATGATAATCAAGATGATGATCTTGTAAAAGTTTAATGAGTGGAAAACCCATTAAACAAATTGTATTACTTGATTGTTAAAACAATTTACTTGTTAGATATATTAAATTAAAGTAAATGGTAATGAGTGAAGGAGGTTCAACATTATAAACATGTCACAATTATTGTTGTCACTTGTTAGATAATTGTAACAAGGATAATGTTTAATTAACTTAATTACCAACTGATTCAAGTCTTTTAATGTCTCTCCCTGAGCGGATATAAAACTTTCTTAATGCAAGTACACTAATCAACAAGAAAATGGCTGGAATAATTAATGAAGGTGAAACATAGGCAATAACAAATATACAACCAATTGCAGTAAATGAATTCTAAATGAGAAAGAATAACAACAATTTAACAAAGGAAGAGAGAGAAAAAAATTGATTGATTGATAATTGATGATTAACTTACCAGAATTAAATCAAACGCAGTTGATGGTAAAAGTTCATCGATGATTGAAAGATCTCTAGAGAAGCGATTTAAAATTCTGCCTATCGGATTAGACTCGAAGAGTGACATTGGTGATCGTAGGACACGATAAAAGATGACATTGTGAAGGTTAATCGAGGCATTGTTACAGATACGGAAAAGTAAAGTTGACCTTAGAATACTGGTTACAAAAAGTCCGATGATTAATGATGAATAGATGCCAATGTTATATGTTAAATTAGGATCTTGCGAATCGGGAACATCAGACCGATAACCAGCCGATTCAAAGTCCATGATTGGTAAACTGTAAAACCCAACTGGTGATCGAGACCAAAGCCATTCCATGATTAAATTGTCTCGAAATTTTTTCATTAATGAACCAGAAAAGGAATCCGTCCAATTGGATAGCCAAAGGTCATTAGAGGTGAAAAATACTTGGGACAATATATTGGTAGCCAATGTTGCTAATCCAAGGAAACAATTGGCCCCCGATTTCAGATAAGCCCAATATACTTTAGTTTTAACTGTTCCTCTAGAATATTGTTCAACTTCAGGTGATGGTTGCATAATTGGGACAATATCAATCGCTCCCATAGGCATAGAGCCCACGGAAAGTTGGGAAGCGGTTGAATCTCGAGATGGAGTTGAGTTGACCGGTGAATGTGCCACGTCTTTTGATTTACGTTGTTTTTCAGCCCGTTTTCGAGCTCTTTTGGCCTTAATCAATTTACTTTTAGCTGTTTCCTTTGATATTTCACTGACTAAATCAACTTTGGCTGCTTGAAGTTCAGTAAGGGAATTAAACAAGGTCGCTTTACCGTCGTGCATTAAAACAATTTTACTAGCTTTCTGTAAGAATTGAATTTGATGGGTTACCAATAAAACCGCTTTTCCAGAAAGAAAATCTCTAATACACCTAAGAAAAAAGGCAAATAAGAATGACGATAAAAATGAATTAATTACGTCAATCATATTAATCGCTTGTCATTAACAATCAGCCAATCAAAATGTCTTACCGTTCAAATATAAGATTTGCAACATGAGCATCAACAGCACTCAAAGGATCATCAAGAAGGTAAATATCAGCTTCACGATAAATTGCTCTGAAAAATGTAATAGATTCAATTGATTAGTTGAAATTGGAATGAAATGATTTTGATTGATAATTTACCTGGCAAGAGAAACTCTCGCTCTTTGACCACCACTAAGACCAATACCTCTCTCACCAACTAAGGTGGAATCACCAAAGGGTAAGGACATGATATCACGCTCCAGAGTACTCGCTGCGAGTACACGTTTGTATCTTTCGGGATTAAATGGTTGACCGAAAAGAATATTTTCCCTAATACTTGCATTGAAAGACCAAATTTCCTGTGAAGCATAAGAAATTGTACCATTTCGTATAACTCTACCAGTCTTATTGTGAATCTCGTCAAGAATTGCCAACAGTAGGGAAGTTTTCCCACTCCCGGTAGAACCAATAATCACCATAAGATCACCTTGATTTACTTGTAAGTTAATATTTTCCAGACAAGAATCGTCATCAGATGGATCCCAATAAGAAGTTAATTTATCAATGTGCACAAATCGAGTCTCGACCGGATTATCAACAGCAATCGAATTTGAATTGACAACATTTTCCAATACTAACAAGGACTAAAAGAGAGAATAAATTTTAACACTAGATGATGGAAATCTATATACAGGTAAACCTACCGTAATTCGTTTACATGAAACCAGTGCTTCGAAAAAGGTTGAAACCGCTTGAGGAAATTGAAGTGTCAACGTTATCCGAAGCGTATTGAATAAAGCCAAAGTTACGAAAATGGCATCAGCTTTCAACGGGAAACCTCGTAGTATATGGGTAACAAAACATGAGAAGATGATAACTCGAGTGGTGACAAACGAAAGTGACATATTGATGGCACGAAGAAAACAGAACCATTTGATACTTTTAACTTCTTTCCTGGAAAAGATCGAGAGAAAAAAGAAACAATTATCAGTTAAGAAAATAATGATAATGTGATATTAATAATAATAATAATTACTCTCGTAACGATTGAACCATATCGGCAAAAGGTTTTTCCCATGAGTACATTTTGATCACTTTAATTCCAGAAAGTACTTCAGTCATTGTTCTTATCCGTTCATCGGTAAAACCAGCGGTATTCCGTCGGGTTTTCCCAAAAGATGAGCCCATCAATAATTGAAAAGGGACGAAAATACAAATGACCGCAAATCCGGCTAAATAAGAGTAACCAATATAAGACCAAATAATGAAAGAAATGATAATCGTTTGAATAGGAGCAATAATCATATAAGGTAAAAACCAAGAGCACTGTTACAATTTCATAACAAAACAATTAATAACAAAATGTTCATAATAATAATAATCTGAGAATCAGGTAATCAGTCTCTTACCTCATCAAACCTTTGAACATCGTTGGACATTAGGTTAACAATTTGACCAATCTCATTGTTGAGAATAGATGATTTCGAAAGGGTTAACAGTTTATCTAACATTAATCGTTGAACGGCAACTCGAGCCTTCATTCCGTATCGAGCAGCATTTGCGAACCATGGATGATGAGTAACAACAAACGATATGGAACAGAAACAGAATCCAATGGTGTAATAGAGTAAATTATTTGATTCTTTTTCCTTTTCTATTCCTCTACCAAAGTAATTAACTATTGCACCAAGAAAGAAAGGTTGAATAATCCGAATGAAAAAATCCTGTGAGTAAACAAAATGGAGAGAAGCAAAAAATCATTAAATATACAAATACAATCAAGAAACTAATAAACTGATTGTCGGTTCTCTCGTTCTCTTTGTACCTCATAGCCAAGAATAAGAAATGAGATTAACATGTAACGATAACCAAATGCTCTAAGTAAAGCTCTCGCTAAGCTTGGTTGCTTTTTCTTCATCTCCTTGGCCCATTCTCTGTGTAGGATAATAAGATTTTCTAAGTAAATTTCCAACAGAAAATGATCTTATCCCAATACGGGAATTTGTCACTTACACAGACAATTTATTGTAAACTTTGTCCGCTTCATCGCTGGTACTACATCGGTACATATCGGTTAGCTCCAAATCTTTTTTATATCCTCTCTTGAATAAGGATAAATTCCAACTGTAAAATTAATAGAGCAAAAAGTCAATCAATTAGTTAGATTCGTTCATCTCTTTTTGTTGTACTTACGCGAATGAAGTTCGAGACCAGAAATTAGCACTATCCCATGGACAGGGAATGGTCACTTTTTCCTGGTTATCCATAGTAACCACCACGCGATTTTTTCACTTCTCCGTCTTGATAGGGCACAATTTAATTTACGTACCAACGGGTTGGCAGTGAAAGAATCACAATCTAAATGGAGTCACAATCCTGAGAGATAAAAGTTAAACAAAGAAAAAAAATGTTAACCGTTAAAGAAATTAGAGTAAATCAAATAAACATTCAATTAGTCAACAATGTTGCACAACAATTACTTTTAAATTAACTGGATTAATCCAAAAGAATCCGTGGCTTTTAATTTAGACAATCAGTCAATCAAGAAAGTTGCTCATTTAAATCATCTGATCATCTAATTGTTTCTCATTGGTGTGATAAATTCAATTGATTTTCCAATTGATGATTTCTTTTCTTCATCATCTTCTTTGTCTAATTGTGACAATCAACAGCTATCATCAAATTGATTACCTCCAATGATTACATGTAATTTTGTTTGTTCGGCTGGTCTATTTGTTGACAATCCAATTGATCCGTAACAGTAATTGAACATCACTCTTTTCCCGGCGAAAAGATTGATCCGATCTGATTAATTTCCAACAATTTCTAATCATAATAGAGAATTACTTTAACCATTGGTAAACCAATTGAATCATCAACAATTATAAAAATAGAAAATCAATTCTCAAAAAAATCAAAATCCATCCAAAGATCATGATGATGAACACAACACACAGAGATTAAATTTATAATTAGATTATAAATCTCCAGAAAAAGAAAACCGGAAACATGATGATAATCACCACCACAATTAGACAAAATTAATCTGATTCATTTGAAAAGAATATAAAAATAAATCAATGAAACATATTTAAAATTAATTCCAAACTTGAAACCAAACAAGAGAGAAAGAAAAAAACAAACAAATGTCACAATCTAACAAACGAATCGATGATGAATAAACAAAGCGAAACGAATAGTTGACAGTAAACAGTTTTCTCTAGTTATTCATGGAACATTAATCAAGTCAAAAGGTTAAAGGTGAAAAAGAAAATGAAGATAATTAACATTAATTAATTAAAAAAAAAGAAAAATTCTCAATCAAAACAAAACAAAAAAGAAGAAAAAATTCTTAAGCTGTTAATCTACCGGCTCATCGATTCTCGGCTTGGGTTAAGATTTTCTTCTAATTCGATGCGCCCCCTAGCGGATAGAGAATAAAATGTTTCTCTTTTAATTCTCTTCTAAAGTCATAAAGAGAGAATAAATTTTTTATTATTAATTGGTGTTTTGTTTTTCTTTTTTTGCTTGGTGGTTGTAAATTGTTTTCTTTTTTTCTCTCTCTCTCTCTCCCTCTATCTCTATCTCTATCTCTATCTCTCTCTCTTTTTCTCGCTTTCTCTCTGTTGTTATCTAACTAATTAAACACTGATTGTGATTACAATGTTTATAATAAATGTTTATAATAATCCTCCTCTGGAGGAATGGGTAAAATCCCGTAACCAGTCAAAGTTGAAAACTCTGTGTCGAAAATTCCAGATCCCCTGTAATTCACCAATTCGTACCAATTTATGGCCATCTTTATGTCGATCATATAAGAAAACAACCTCTGAGCCTCAATTTGAAGATCTCCTTAAAGCTAATTTACTTTCACCTTCCTCATCTGCAACAGTATTTGTTAATGATGGTGGTGGCGGGCAATCTGATAGAGGAGGAGGAGGAGGAGGAGGAGGAGGTGTTGGTGTTGATGGTAGTAGTGGTATTACTGGTGGCGGTGGAAGTGCAACTAATAAAGGATCAATTACTGGTAGAAATAATAGTAAAAATAATAATCGTAGTAGTGGTGGTGGTGGTGGTGGTGCAAGTGTTGTTGAAATGCAGGTATTACAATTGTCTACATCATATTCTAATGGGATGATTACCGATCGTTTACCTGGTGATTTACCTCGTAAATTACCTTCTTTTGTTGATCCAAATTATTGTCGTTATTTTAAGTTAAACCCTGATGGACAAAGATTAATTGAACGTATTCTATGGATTTTAGCTCTCAAACACAATGAGATTACCCTTTGCCCATTATTATATCCAATTGCGGCTCTTTTTCTTCATTATTATGACATTACTCAAACATTAACCTCATTAACCTATTTATTGGAAGCACCTTCATCAGGTATTGGTGGTAAAGAAGGACCTTATCTATTGCCCCAATCGAGAACCCAAATTGTCCGTCAAGCTTATGTTCTACTACGATTAACAAATAAATTTGGTTTCCTTCCAAGGCGAGGTTTTTTCACTGAACAACGGGATCGTTTGATTAAAGAAAATGAAATGGACGCTTGTTTCCTTGATTGGTTAAAATGGATTTTCATTGGTCTACCCTTTGAACATGTTGTCAGAATAATGGATTGTTTCCTGGTAGAAGGAACAAAATTTCTTTATCGTATTGGTTTAACATTATTAATATTGTATAAAAATTCCAGACCAGTATCACCACCTTCTCGTCTTGGTATGATTACTAATAACACTTCAACCAACATAAATAACCTAAACAACATTAACTCTACCAACAATATTAACAATGGTTCCTCTGCCACTTCTGCTGCTGCCACCAACAACTTTAATACATCAAATACATCAACATCTACATCAAACACCACCTACAATAACACTTCAACAACAACAACAAATTCCTCCTCCTCTTCATCATCTTCAACATCCTCTTCGTCACCATTCACCTTGGACCTGATGTTGTCCTTTTGTGAGACAATCAAATTAACACCCGATGAGCTAATAACCGTGGCAACCCAATTACGACGTTTATCTCGTTCAAAAATTGACCGAACCTACAAGGAAGCCTCCCACCGAACGGAAAAATTTAAAATACGCTCAGCTCCACCATCACCTTATCATCATTCACATCATCTGGGTTATAATGATCTTACTCCAACCTCATCAAGGAAACTTGAAATGATCAGCCTTGATTCGGTTAAAATATCTGATTGTACTCGGATAGCACCACGATCTCTTAAATCATCAATATGTGATTGGCAATTATTAGATATACTCTGGGATTGGATACCTGAAAGAACACTCATCAAAGAACCGGTCATCATCTTCTGTTCAGATGTCCATGGAAATTCATTGTCTACATTTTATGCTAAAAATGAAACTGTTGAACAATCAATTTTACTCATAAAAACAGTCAACAATGAGGTAAATAATAATATCAATCATGAAATCATCATCATGCCAACAATTAACTTTCACTACCCACAATCACAAAGGAAGACATGTAAAAAGACAGAGAGAAGAGAGAGAGAGAGATATATATGTATGTATTTAAAAAAGAGATGAAAGGAAAATAGAAAGGGAAAGATAAAGATAAAAATTTGATCCTTGATTGTTGATTAATTTGAACATACAAATCAAATTAACAAAATGAACAAAAACAAATTGATAGCTATGATTAACTCACCTTTTTGATTTTGTAATATATTATCATTATTACGATATGATAATTTGAGATAGTTAATCGATTCATAATCAGAGAATCCAATTTCATTAACAGTAACATAAATAATAGTGATGGTGTTGATGAAGATGAGATGATAACATGATGAAAAGACAAAATATCGATAGAGAAAGAGATAGAGTGAGAAGAGCGGAGAAGTAAAAAAATATTATTTAGAGAGAAAGAGGGAGAGAGGGAGAGAGAGAGTGTGAAAGAGAGAAAAAGAGAAAAGTAAATCACTGAGCAACAATTTAATACATTTAACAGCAATTGATCCACAATCAGCATTATCATAACAGTTTAAATGAAGAGATCAGGAAGAAGAGGAAACTATTTGGTTAAATTAATCCAATTAAACCAATTTAGTTTTCTCAGCATTGTAATTCAAGAAGATAATGACGAAGATAAAAATTGAACCTTATTTACCAATGTAAAATTAGGTGTTTATTTTATTATCTCTTTCGTATTTCTCTGTCTACATGATGATATATTTTTATCTCTTGACAATTGATTGCATTTATCAAGATCTTTCGTCAAGACATCATTTGCATTTTAATTGCAAACAGTTTACAATAAGTTGACTCAGATGATAATTAAAGAGAGTCTCCCTTTCCCTCTCTCCCTCTTTCTCTCTCTCTCTTTCTCTTTCTCTCTCCCCCTCTCTCTCTCACCTTGATTATTGTAATTTTGACTAATTGTTTTCTATTCTGTTTTTTTTCTTTACACTTTTTAATTTAGATCTTCGGTGCTTTTTGCTCAACCTCATGGTCTGATCGATTAGGATTTGATCGTAAGGGCGCAGCGAAACAATATTTCGGTACCGGGGAAACATTCCTATTCACATTAAAACCAAAGGTTGCTTATTATCCCTGGGTTGGTACCAAAGAGTATGGTTCAGACCAAACGAGAAACATTCCTTGTTCATGTCAACTCTTTATGGCCGCTAATGCCAAAATGATTACCATTGGTGCTGGTAACGGAGTTGGCCTTTGGTTAGATGAAAATCTTACCAAAGGTAAAACGGAACGTTGTGATACTTTTAATAACAAACCATTATGTACCAGTGGAGACTTTGCATGTTCCATTGTTGAGGTTATTGGCTTTATTTCATCATGGTGATATTATTATATTAATTATTATCTTCGTTATAACCACATATACATACACACACATATTTATCATATATCATATATTACTCTGATTATTATCCATCCACACACACACATATATATATACCTTTAAACACTCCTCATCTTACATCTCTCTCCCTCTCCCTCTCTCTCTCTACCATCTCCTGCCCACTCCCACCATCACGATGCAATATCTTTATACATACAGTCTTTATCCTTCATCTTTTCCCTTTTATCCTCTTTCTCTCTCTCTCTCTCTCTGTAAGTTATAATGTCTTTATTTTCTTGTGTTGTTGTTGGTTTGTAGGTTAAGTTTCAAGTGATTTACACACATCGATGTTTTTGTTAATTGTTTAGTCGAAAAAATTGTTTTTTTCTCATCTTCTTATTTTTTGCTGAAATTTAATCTACTTAATTGTTTAGTTTATGGCGCTGATACTATAACTTAACCAGCAACATCCCACCTTAATCACCACCACCACCACCATTACCCATCACCCACCAAAATCATCATCACTTGATCACCTTACAAAAAAAAACAAAGATGAGGATAAACTGTGTGTGTGTATATATATATTTATATTTACTCTAGCAATCAACAAATTATCAGAATTATTTTATTTTGCCCATTTAAAAAAGCAATATTCAACAATTAGCCCAAACCCCTTTGGTTTACAATGGTTTACAATTAATTGTAGCTTTTTCCAACCTTTCTCTCCACCTTTCTGACATTACAATTACAATTATAATTTCATTTCATTTCATTAATCAAATTTTTCTTGTGTTATTGTCTAGTCTATATTTAAGCAATTAAAACACCAGATATATCAACAATTAATATATATATATATACATACATACATAATATTAAATAACAATGACAATTAATTTAATTTAGTAGCGTGTTTTAAATTAGCAAACAATTTTAAATTGTCACTTAATCAGTTGTAATCTATTTTATCTGATCAGTATTAATATTCAAAAACAAACAAAAAAAACAACAACAACAAAATAATTTGATTTGATTTGTCAATTTTACTCCGTGTGATATAAATATAATATATTTTAATTGTTGTCACAATTTTAATCACCATCATCATCAAGAATCTTAATCATTTTAATCATCGAAAAAAAAAGTTAATTGTTAACTATTGATTGAAGCTTTTTGCTTTTTCTTTGTCTCTTTGGATAACATTTTAATTGGAAAACAGTATGTTAATTGTTAACAATTAAACGTTACAATCAACTTGTTGGTTTTGTCTTTTATGTGTTTAATTAAAAAAAGTTGTTATTAATAATAATGATTAATTAATTGCAAAATTTAACAACAACAACAACACCAACTAATCAACTGAAATACTTTGAATAATTAATTGTAATTTAAACTTTTTCCCAATTGTATCTAATTGTCAAATCACCTTATGTATTTACCTTTAATCCTATTAATTTAAATTGTTCATTCAAATTTACTCAGGGTAAGTAGTTAATTAAGTTAATCAAGAAGAAGAAGAGAAAATAATTAAGCCTTGTTATATTGTAATGAACAAAGAAACCAGAAGAAATTAAATTAATTATTGAACAAATTATTGGACAGCAATTAAAATGAAAAAAAAAGTTAACTCTCCTTAAATTGTGACAATTTATTTTTCCCGCGAGATAATTTGATCATCTTATATATTTAAAACAACAACATCAACAAGAAGAAGAGCAATTTAATCATATCAACAATTTGATTGTCCAACAATCAACTTAATCAAGAGTCTGCGTTTAAGAGTGGGTTACATTGCGCAAGAATAGTTAAGCTCACCCACCGTTGAGACAAAACCCACTCCCACCAAACCAAGAGTGGAAAAGTAGACTTGAAGTTCAGTTTGGAAAGTTTTTCATTCATGATAAGTGAGAAAAAAAAATTCTCAATTCTCAATATAAATTCAATTTGGAATCAAAATCATTACCTCATGTTTATGTGTGTGTAAGTGTAAACAATTAACTTCAACAATCAAGCCTGAAGGAAAATATCACCAATCATCTTGTCAATCAAGTGTATCAACAATTAACTAATCAATTCAATCAGATTTACACAAAAACAGGAACAACAAGCTAATTGTTCAAAAGTGTTTTCAATCATCACCATGAAGTTACTCTGAATGAAACTTTTTCTTGAGTGAGAAAAAACTTTCATCTGTGTTTCTAGAATAATGTATCACTTACCAAATCAACTTCCACCCCACCTTCCACCTCTACCACCACCTAATCATCCACATCATCTTAATCAGCATCATCACCATCAAAAGCAACAACGACAACAACAACAACAACAACATCATCCTCATCACCAACAACACATTTATGACAATGACGGTAGTGTACCAGTTTTTTACCGTTATCAATATGATAGTGACTATAATTCAATAATAAATTCAAAAAACATGGTCACCTCATCAACCTCATCCGATGGGATTAAAAAAGATTCCGGATTAATACAAATTTTATCCTCATCTTCCCATGATAATAATAATTCATCGCCTCTTTCCTCATCAACACCCTCACCTTCACCACCATTAGGTATGCTAATGGGTCCTGGTGATGATTGTCTTACCGGTGGTAATTCAGCTCCTGGTCAATCAATACTCACACCAAAGGAAAATACATTATCCTTTATTTATCCACTGGTGTCATTTATTTTTTCCACCCTCAATGTAATCATTAACACCTTACTAGTTTACCTGTTTTACCTTGAAAATCAGCATACATGGTTCATTTTGACTTCGACATTTTTATTTATTCCACTTTTACTGGTAAACATATTCAGTATCAAATGGTGAGTTTCCCACTCTGTCTCTCTTTTCTTATACACCCTCCCATTCATTTTCCCACTCTCAACAATTTAAATTGTCTCATAACGAATACAATATCAATCCATTCTCATGATATTATATCCATTTACCTTTAGCATCCAAATAACATTGCGTGATAGTTTAACATTGTTGTTATTTTTTTTTGTTTCTGTCATGAAAATATATCCAAGCAACACAGTCAGTGGGAGAGAGCAGTGGTGGGTGGTGGGTGGAGGTTGAAGGTGGATTGTAAATATTAAACAATAGAAATGAAAAAAAAAGATATTTGTATTCAGGTTTCTATTTTTAATCTTTTTTTCATGTTACTTTTAAACTCATTTGATGATATAAGTAATTGTATTGTTTTCACCACCCAACGATCATCATGGTAAATCAGATAACATTCTGAATGGTGGGTTATTGAAGGGTGGAAACTTTCATTTTTGTCTTTCTCTCTCTCTCTCTCTTTGATCCTGGGAATGTTATATTAGACAGGAAATTCATGTTATCTGTTGTATGCAAAAGGTTGGATGATTTGAATCCCTCTCTACGATTTTGCTGATCTGATTCAGAACTTTTTTTTTGTTTTATCCTTGTATTCCCTTGTGGAAACTCAATGGTTTCCCATGTTTCTTGATTTATATCATGTTATCAATATGCTTTTATCATGCAATGAATTGAAACCAGTGATATAAAATGGGTTAACAATAAATGGGAAGAGAGAGAGAGAGAGAGAGAGAGACGGTAATAGTTTCACTCTGAAAAAATTATCAACATATTTATGCATAAAATGATAGAATCCATATTCATGATAATGTTCACCATGAATTTTGTATATAAATTATTCAATTTCAAAGCTTTGTCCTTCTCTTATCATTTTATGTTTACATTTTGAATTGATTATCTCATGAACCCTTTATTTCATTTGGATACTTTGGCAACTATTACATGATCATGTTAACGATAATGATCATGGCTCTTGATATTTATCATCTCAATCTCTGAATCATGAATTCTTATCTCCGTATCTTTTAGTTATATCTTCAACTTCCTTTTCCCTCATCATCATTTTTTCTTCCGTTTTTTCTTCACTTTTCATTCCAAGTGATCTTCATGAGTCCGGAAAATGAATTGATAGATCGCTTGTCCCTCGGAACTGGCTCCGGATGTCCTTATTACATCTACATGTTACATCACAAGAAAATTGTGACAATCATCTTCATCTTCATCTTCATCCTTATCTTTTATCCTTATAATCTTTGATCTCTCTGTCTCTCTCTCACACACACTACCCATCATCTACTTTTCTCCCTATTGAACACAAAATGTCAATAAATGATGACGATTCTGACAATGATTCTGATAAAACATTCCCTCCATTTCCATAAAGATGGATCTTGATTCTCGTTTTCATATTTATCTTTCTCTTTCCAGATTATTTGAAATAGAAATGAAGATAAAGATAAAGATAAAGAAGATAGAGAAGATGACACATTTCCACTCTCTCACTCTCTCATCAATGATCATCTGATACAGAATCAGAATATTTTATCTCTATCATGGTTAACTGGATAAAGTGAACGATAGAAATGATAAATTTCAGATGAAACTTGCTGAATCTCAGACATTAACCCATAGACCAAAAATAAAGACAAAAAAAGGTTGAATGAGAATCTAATTCACAATGAAATACTATCAGCTAATTCTGTCAATATTTGTCATTAATAATGATCATGATCATGATGGTGATAACTCAATGAAATCTCATTCCAAATATTTATTCAATTCACCTTTAATACATTAAAAATTGAAACTTATCCAATAAAGTTCATATCAGGATAAATTAACTGTGTGTTTCAAAATGATAATACCAATAGATTATCGTAATTAATCAACATGGTTTAATATTTTCACTCAAGAGTAATTATAATACACGATGATTATGATGATTTACCCTTGGTGGGTAAATAAATGAATCTCAAGTTCAGGTAAAATCAGTTGATGAGTAATTATTATCTCAAAGGATTGGGTTGTATTTTTTATCACCATCATCAGCATCATGTATTATGTAATTGTTGATGATTAAATTCAATGAGGTGTTCAAGTTAATTAGTAGTTCAGTATCACCAAGTTTATCATGATGCTTATGATATTATTCATTGTTCATTAAACATCAACACCCACAGTAAAAGGGGATATATAGACATTGTTGTGGGTGAAAAAAATACCATGAAAAACAATGAAGAGGTTGAAACTTTGCCCCTTTTTTCATGGTAATGGTTGGAGGAGGTGGGAAAATGTTGTCAGATTTGTTGAGAGGCTTTTGCTTCATGTTTAACTTGTTAGTCTTTTTTTTCATGGTGTTTTTTTTACCACCATCACCATTCAGATGATTATGGTTCTTGTTTCATGCTGTGAATTTATATATCATTAAGTTTGGTGATGATTTTGTATTTATTATGATAAATATGAACTTGAGTTAGGGACTAATTACAAATGCATATTACGATTAATCCATGAGATTTTACATCATGAATTCGGGTATGGAATAGGAAATTTAACCAAGAAAAATGACTAAAAGTTAATCATTGATGCTGTGGTGGTGATGAGAGAGTGGGGTGGGCAAAAAATGACAGAATGTTAAGATAATGAGCTCGAAGTTTGGGTGATAATGAACAGGGGAGATTGTAGAAAACAAGAGATTTGAATTTAGAGAAAAGTTTTTCACTCAGTTTTATCTCATTTCTTATGACAGGGAATGTTAATCATGAAAGAGAGAGAGAGAGAGAGAGAGAGAAATATGAATATCTAAATTCTGATGTGATTTTTGTTCTCAAGCAAATTAATCCACCATGATTATGATTAATAGGAGAAAAGATAAAAAAAAAGTTCGCTACGATTATTTTGATAAGCAAAGATTTAAGTTTAAAAGTGTCCATGAAATTATCATGTTCACCGATTCTTCAACTTGTCAGCTTCAAATGAGAATTGAAAAATTGTGAATATGAATCTCTGATGAAACTTTTGGAATTTAAAGATAACTCATGATTCATATTCTTTAAGCACCAATATGATCTGATTTCTTTTATATTTTGTTTTGTTTTGCATTTTTCGAAAAGTTCAAAAAGTTTTTTCTCTTTCTTTTTTTTCCATGATATCAGAAACTGAACTTTATTCATTTTCATCAATTTTCTCCTGAGTTCGAACCCTTTTATTTTCTTGCATCTCACTTATTCTAACCTTACCCAGCGATTCCTCCTCAGCTTGGTAATAAATTTCATAAGAGAAACTTTATCATTTCAACCATGAATATCATCATAACTGAATAATCACCAGAATTTTCAGCAAAAAAGGGAAAAATATAAATAAGTTATATACCAAGAGGAAACTTTCAGGGTGAAAAAAAGGATTTCTATACTTTAGCTTTCAAGTTCATCATAAGAAATGATTTCATGATAATAGATTAACCTGAGCTTTTGATAACTTTTTTCAACTTTGATACTGTTACAAGAGAGACAAATTTAATCCATTGCAAAATTATTTAATAACTAATATAAAAACATTTTTCTTTCCAATATTTGTATTCCTATTCCACCAAACTGACCAATGCTTGACCACAATCACCATGAAAATGGCTCGAAACTTGGATTCATCTGGTTCATGTATGAAAATTGACCTTTACTCAACTTGTTTCAACTCATTCATATATAAATACAACATAACATTGTCCATGATTGTGTTTACTTTTGCTGAAACAATGTTTTTCATGGTCATCACTGGAC